AAAATGGCCACGGACCACGTGTCAGGGGCGGAAAATGGCCACGGACCACGTGTCAGGGGTGGAAAAATGGCCGTGGACCACGTGTCGGGCGGGAAAATGGCTGCGGACCATGTCAGGGGCGGGAAAATGGCCGCGTATCCTGCTCGTACCCCGAGGCGGAGTTCACAAATCGAGGTAAATTTTTGCTGGTCGTAACCCGAAAAGTTCGTTAACAGAGGCATTCGTAACCCGAGGTACCACTGTACAGTAACAACTAAAGCAAAACTGGAAATCAGTACATACAGCATATATAATTAAATGCCAGTTGTAGTTAATGCTGTAGCATTGTGATATGGTGATCCTAAAGAAGCCACAGACAGAGAAAAATTACAGGAGAAGGAAATGTATATAATGTGTTGATTTTAAACTAAGCAATCAATTATTTATAAATAAAAGCTAATATTAATATTCCTATGGCCCTCTAAACACAGCTTTCACATTCTGGCCTTTTTCCATTCCCATCTGATCTAATAAAACTCATCCAAACTTTAAAAAAACGTATTTGAAAACCCCATCATTCTAAAAGTAGAATACCTTCGGCAATTTATCCCAATTTGGATTACTATAGTTGGCTCTGACAACTAAGTCCCGGTAATCACCTTATTAAGAAAGAAAGGAGGACACTGAGCTGCTTTTCATCCCGCCCAGCAAGTGCATTTTTCAGTGTTCCTCTGCGGCTTAATTCTTGCATGACAGCAACTGTAACTTCTGGTGGATTCTTTTTTTCAGGACCCTAGAAGTAGAAAGCATTCAAGAGCACACCTTTACAATAAAATGTTCTCAGGTATTTAAACAACTCAAACGTCTTCAACTCATACAGAAAAATGAGCTGATTCAAAATGGAACCGTTTACATTTAAAAGCCATTCATGGAGCAGTTTGTTGCAATCTTGTCCAGATCCTGTGCCAAGGACATCACATCTGTTAAGGGTCTTGACTGCAAGGAGCTGCTCAAGGATCATTAATGAAACACTTTTTATTTTCCAAACCAACCTGAGACTGTTTCTGGCAAATGCCCCCCCACCCCCCACCCCAGTTTACAGGAGTAGCAGATTACATAGCTATTGGCTGGATGCAGGCATCATGCTAATTCATAGTTATTTCTGGGCCAAGGTAATCTTTATATTTAGCTTTCTTATATGAATAAATTATATTTCAAAAAATGGCTCACCCCACTTTTACATTTAATGATGAAAAGCAGATAAAATTTCCTGCAACTAAATGTGAAAAGCACATAAAAATATTTTAGTTCCACTTTTCCTTAAAAATTCTTACATACAGATATAAGAACCTGAACTGGACAGAGGCCCCAGGTCAGCAGCAGAGTATATGTTTTGCACACAAGTGGTCCCTGATTCAAAATCTAGCTTCTCCAGGAGGGAAAGGCACCAATATGAAATCCTACAGAGCACTTGCTAACCTGAATGGGGAAACCACTTAACTGTCTGACTCCAACCTATCCAATTTTGGCCCACGTGGCCTCAAGTGAGTCTCCTTCTTTCATCAAACCACCTTCTCCTCCCTGGCATAATCTCTGTGTGATCTGTCTTCAGGTTTTAGCCACCCATCACTGTACCCAGGTAGAAAACACATGAGATGAGAATCATGTCCATGTTTCACCACTTTGTTTCCTCCTACAGACAAAAGTATTCCATGCAGGGGAAGGTGGGAAAAGATGGCTCCCAACTTTGCTCTCTACCAACGGCCTTTGTCCATGCAAGAGATGGAAACAATGGTTCTCATCTCCTTCCAAATGCAGAAGTGATACTCTGTGTGATGGGGCTTTTGAGGGAGAACTTCACCTGCCACCTTCCAATCTGCAAGAATAGTGGGGAACTGAATCTAGTCCCCAGGCCAGGCTCTGTTCCCCGCCCACAATGTGGAGTAAAAGTTGCTCTGATGCAAATTTTTCAGAAATACTGATAGCAGAGGGAAAAGTGTTTATTTTCCTCCAGAAGATATAAATCAAATTTCCAAAATTTGAAAACCTGAAATGCTTTTAGCAACATCTTTTACCAATCTAAAATCACTTTGATACTTTAAGAATGTAAAATGTAAAACAGCAGTAAGAGAACGTTTGTTAACCTTAGGACTATCTGTAATCCTGCAGTACTGTGACCTACACTATGATCAGAGCTTTGTAAAACTCTGTTAACATATAAAAAGAGTTAAACAACACTCAAAACAATGTCATGTCTTTATATTTTCCTAGTCCTTCATGTTTCTTCATCTAGAGTCTACAGAAGAATTCTCTAATAACTTTTCACAATAAATGTTTAGTATTTCCCACTATTAACAATAGTACCAAAGTTACTGCATATATAGTAGAAGGCTCGTGTTTATGAAAATATTGATCAGATTCATTGCAGAGAATTTAAAAGTAAAACAGATGATTCAAGTAGTGTCATCTTACTTGAAGCACTGCATCCAGAGCCTTGGAAACCTGGAAACTTCGCAGGAACTTGTCATATTTCTTCAAATAGTTCTTTACAGGCTTGCTGACAAATATATCTTCCTAATGATGGAAAAAGAGTCAGAGAACAGACAACGATATATGGTAAGTGGCACAAAGAATTATTCCTATTTTAGCTTAATTGTTTTCTTGTTTTATTTTATTTCTTCTGCCAAGAAGAATTTAGAACCAGATACAGTTTGTTCTTATCAAGATTCTCTTTTATCCAGGTTCACTGCTTCATATACCTGCATCATGGAAAAAACAGGGTACTGATTTCCAGGCTCTCACCAGATTAGATAATCTTAGGTGGTGATCTTAAACATTATCACTGGAACCCAGAATACCTTCTGGACCATCTCCCATAACACCCTGCCCAGCCCATACAAATGAGTGGAAACGTTCTTCTCTGTGTCCCAGCAATGGCAGAGCTCCTTCAGGGGAGCCAAGAGAAAAGGCATCCTCAGCAACCATAAGTAAACTTTGGAATTTCCTACCTGGCACCTTCTCTGGTGGGAACCTCTCTACAGGCTTTTCTAAGCATTTCAAATAATCACGCTTTTGTGTCATTTAATTCTTCACTGATTTAAATTGTCATCTATGCATTACAAGGCCAGGAAGGTTATAATTTTTATATAAGAAAACAGATCCTTTTATATGATAAAACAGATCTAATTAACTCAATGAGACATAGCCTCAGTAGACAACAGACTGCTCTGTCTGTAGGCCCTCCAAACTCTGTTCACTTAGCTTTGAACAAATATGGTTATAATTTGATTTCTTCTATGACCAAGTTTGCCACCTGCCACTTCTGCATTTTAAATGCTGAAGTTCAATATCCAGTTAACCAGAAGCACCTTTGTTTAATTAAGGTTTTTTTAAAATCTGTTTACCCTAGCTTAGCTTTTCCAACCTGGTTGAAAACATCTAGTGCAGTGGAAACATCCAGTGAAATGTAGCCCAATTAATTACCCCACACATCTTTGTTCTTCAGTTCCCACATATGCCATTCACTAACAAAAAATAGGGCTTTCTCTGAGCATCTTCTTCTGCATACCTGCTTTGGCAGATAGTTTCTTCCTTTCACAAAGGTTCGGTATGCAGGCCTTCTCCTATGAAAAACCTCTTTTTCTCCTTCATGCTTCCGATGTTTAACATTCAATATGCCATTTGTCATGCCTACAACTAGAGCTTCATCCTCAGGCTAAAAAGGAAAACAAGGTTGGCTTAATCCATATATTTAGTTCCAAGATATTAATTTTATGAAAAGATTGCATCACAGAGAAACCAGCTTCTAATATAACATATGAAGAATCATGTTACAATGCCAAACTGGAAGATTTTGATCAAATAAAACTATTTCAAGTTATCAGGCTTATGAAGTTAAACCCAATCCATTTTTCTAGCCCTACTGCCCTATCCATTTATTAAGAATTCCATTGTGTTCAATGGGGCTTACACCTCAGTAAGTCCCTTTCATTTGCTCTGTTCAGCTATTCATGCACGTACTTAAAAGCAAGTCAGTTCAAAGTAGCTAACTCCTTAAACAACCTCCAAAATGCAGTGAATTCCCTTATCTTTGGCCCATGATCCAAAACAAGAAGTTTAATTAATAAAAAATGAGGCCACATTCTTGTTAGAGCCCTTTTCTAAAACATTCCTCATGTCCTTCCATACCTGTGCTGCAACAAACTAATGTGGTTAAAGATTTTAAATTTATGTAATCTTTCCTAACTGATATTCTCCAGTTACGCTGGACTACATTTCCCGAATTTCCAGACAGCCTGGATATTGATCATGTTGTCTAGAAATCAGGAATTATAGTCCAATGCATTTGGAGGCATCATGTTGAGGGAGACAGTACACAGACCAACATGGTGTGATAGCAGTACAGTATTATTTCATGACATACAGCTACACTTTTTTTTAAAAAGCAGACTTAATAATCTGCCTAAAGCAGCCGTAGATGGCCAGAAGTACTCAAAGGTCAGCCTAGAGAACACATATTCCAGGCAACATTATTTGGCTGTTGCCAGGTCAACAAAGCATGTCACAATTGTTGTGGGGCCACCCTATGGAACAGCCTCCCCACTGAGGTTCAGATGGCCCCAACCTTATTGGCCTTTCAAGAGGCCTTAAAAATATGGCTCTCCCCTCAGGCTTTGGGGCCAGGATATTAGTGGAGCCTGGTTTGTAGGTTTGTGCTGTACTGATTAAGGAGTTGAGTAGTTTTAGCTGGTGACTTTTATTGTTATTTTTATATGCATGTTTTTGCTTTTATTTCTTTATTAGCCACCCAATTACTTGATTTATATGGGCAGCCATATAGATTTGCAGAATAAATAAAGTTGAAAAGCATGACATTTGCACAACTGCCTTCTTTAACAAGATCCATTTTTATAAATGTTTTTGTATCCAGCAGGTTATATTGAAAAACTTAGACTGACAAAATCTTTTCACTGACAAAATCTGATGGCCTACAAAATAAAAGAATGGCAGGGTTCACACATTATGTTAAACCAAAAGCAAACCAAACACATTTGGCTTAGAACAATACGCAGATCCAACTGGTCGTTATCTGTACACCCACCAGAAGATTTATTATACCACTTACAGCTAATGCAAGACTGAGAATTGATGCTTCATAGTTAAAGCTGTGGACTACTTTGTAGGAAGTTGTGCTGTAAATCTTCACATGCCTACAAAAGAAAATGCCCATACCATACAGTGAGCCTTTGCTGTAATTTATAAGTATTTTATAAAATAAAATAGATTACACAATGTTGTTGATAGCATGTCATTTGATCAGAAGTGGCAATCCTTAACTGTGCATGTGTGCGATTGCAGGGAAGCCACAGAAAGCGGGCGTGGGATGCATGCATGTGTACAATCGCAGGGAGGCTGTGGAAGAGGGTGTGGTGTACGTGAGTGCACGTGTGCAATTGCAGGGAGGCCAAGGGAAGAGGGTGCGGGATACTTGTGTGGGTGTGTGTG